CAAGCTCCAGGTGTGAGATGATCATCTGGCGAAATATTACAAGAGTTTGTATGGAAATATTTACGAGTTATCCATTTCTAGGTTTACTATGTATATAAGAAAGGCCCTTAGATAACTGATGATGTGCTCCCTTTATTTTGCAAACAGTGAAGAAGTGTTTGTCTATAAAACTGTTGAAAGGAAATGTAAAGTTGCTAAAGCAGCCTATCTTGATCCAAATGATGATGAAGATGCAAGTAGTAATGATAACCAAAAAAGGATGGCACATTCAGGTGGCCAAAACAGAGAGACACTGACATAGTCAGCCATAGATATATCTTCTCACATGCAAGAGTGCAGAAAGTTGGTAATTGTTTTGTTGTTAGTTACCTTGAGAGTAATGATTGCAAGTGTGAAACATATCAAGAAATTTACATGAATGCCATTACATAAATAGACATTATAATAACTGTCCATAACATTTTACACATGATATTAAACAAAGGAAATGGTATTTGAAGTTTAGACAGAAATTACATTAAGATTTTCATAGGTTTTGATTTCATAGTGAGACAACTATGAGGAGCCAGATTTCAATGGCAAATTTTAAGACTGTACTAAGGAAGTGTTACAGGAACTAATTCAGCAAGATGAGTCAGATAATGAGAAAGAGGGGCATGCGTTTAACTGAAATCAAAGCCGGCCTACTCATATGTAAACTCCTAGCAGACGGAAAGTTTAAATAAAGGATTTTATAAAGGTCTCTAACTTTCACGTCTTTAATTTTTGCAGCACCTTTTTTTAGCGGGACTTTAATTATATGTGAATTTTTCAAAGTGACAATAAGGTAACTGGTACCACAGTTTTTTCCTTAAATGACAAGAGTGTGTTTCATCTGCTAACCATGTTTATACTTGGCAGGCTGTCAACGGGGGAACAATTCAAATGAAATGTGAAATGTGACAAAAAACAGGGGAGGAGAACTGATTTGTCAATCAAACGTCACAAACAGTTCATGTTCGGCTCGACTCTCACGTAAGAAAACTGCGAAAATGGCGGGTCAAAGTTACTTTGGTGTTTCGGAGGTCTATACGTGGCTTTCGTCAATGTCGCATGGATTAAACCTCGAAAGGCTAGCCCCAGAGTTTGAGAGGAGAGGCTTTCAGAGTATGCATTCGCTAAAATATATCGGGCAGAATGATCTGGAAGTCATAATAAACTATCCAGACAAGTTGTTACAGGCAGAGAAGAATTCTCGAGAAAGAGCTAGAGGAGATAAAGAAGCCGTCTCTACAGCCCAAGGAACTTTTTCCATCTCCTTACACTGGGTCTCTGCAAGTTGTTAGCCCTATTAACTCTCTTGTGCTCGTCAGCACGACCAGCTCAGGCCCGGCTTCAAGCTCATCCAACATGCCTGTAAGTGGAACCATGTATCAACAAAGCGCGGTTAACAAAAGCAACGAGCAGTCAACAACCTATCTTGAGAAGAAAAGCGGCGAACTAACGGAAAATCTCTCCATAATACAAACACAGATCAAAAGTGCTACTGACCAGCTTGAAATTGTTCGTAATCAGTATGAACAAGCATTGAGCAAAGCTAACAGACGGAGAGCGGGAAAACTTTGCACCCGATGTCATCAGCCGGACCACTACAAAGCTCACTGTTCAAGCCCTACTTGTATGGACATGAACAATTGTGGCGCGAGCGAGAAACACCCAGAAAGCAAAAATGAGATCACGGAACTACGAAAGCTTATCAAAGATTTGCAGAAGAAAGAAGCTGAAGCATCAAAAGAGCTTCAGTCACTCAAGCTTGCCAAGGAACGCTCAGTCAATAGCTTTTTTGCGGTTATGCGTCCCCGACTGAGACGGCAAAACGAAGGCCGTTATGTCAACAGGTTTTCTTTAGATAAAGACTTGATACTCTTGAAGAAAATTTTCAAAAATAAGATTCCAATTGATACCTCGCGAGATTGAGAAATGCCGTTCCTTATTGAGTGTTACAGGAGAGGTCTTCTGAGCGTAGACCGCATGTGAATTGTTACGCATAACTGTTTACCGTTACATGGAACTAACTGGCGAATTCACATTGATTTGATCGAAGTTCTTGGAAAAATGTACTGTTGCGTTGTACGACAAGAAAGAAATAAATGTTGTTTTGAATTTTCTTGTGCTGCTTACCCATACTTTGTGAGAAGTCTATTGTTCCATCTACCCAACGCTACTGGTCAATTTGCGAAAAATTTTCCGGGGTGGCCTTGGTTGGAGTAGTCGTACCTTAAACTAGTTCAGTTATATCAACAAATCAAACCATCTGGTATTGTATGAGTACAATTTTAACACTCAGATGTAGGTCAAAAAACAAGGAATGAAAAAAGGCATTGGTATGTACCAGGAATTGAACACACATGGACCCCAATAACCCGGTAACCAGTCAACTCGCCGACGGACCAACTCGCCGACGCCAACTCGCCGACGTATAAAATCGAGTAGAGACGTCGGCGAGTTGGTCGTCAATCCAATACAACTTATTAGAAGTTAAACATACAGAGAAGTAAACGATATTTAGTAAAAAAAACACTGGCGAACATTGGTGAACATCAAACAGAAGCTTAAACATCGGTGAACATTGGTGAACATCACCAATGACTATAATGAACGAGTTATTGTGCGACAACAACACCGTAAAGACTCATCTTGTCAATCGCTCAGATTTTTTAACGAAAACTTGGCTTTCTAGACAAGATCTTTAGTAAAATGTAATTGTTTTTATTTGCAACAAAGTTTATAAGGATCTTAAGGCGAATAAAGCGAAGTAAACCTCACCAACAACTCTAACAGCTTCAGACGCGAACGAGTTATTGTGTGACAACACCGTTAAGACTCAGCATGTCAATCGCTCAGTTTTTTTTAACGAAAACTTGGCTTTCTAGACAAGATCTTTAGTAAAAAGCATTTCTTTTCATTAGGCAATTACAGAGTAAGGTGTTTGGATTATGGGAAAAATATGAAAATGGTGAAAGAACAGCGGCCCAATTATTGAAATCGATGTCGAGATTAAACGGACCTACAAGAGCAGAGTAATTGCATGATATACATTACTTTCACATGTTCATCTGATCTTTATAATAAATGGAATTTTATCGTTTTTATCGTAAATCAAACGTTCTCGATCATGAATAAATCTTTCTTTAAAGTTAAAAAAAAAAACATGTGGTTCCGCGTGGTTGCTATGGTTGTCACACAATAACTCGTTCGCGTCTGAAGCTGTTAGAGTCATTGGTGAGGTTTACTTCGCTTTATTCGCCTTATGGTCCTTATAAACTTTGTTGCAAATAAAAAGAAATGCTTTTTACTAAAGATCTTGTCTAGAAAGCCAAGTTTTCGTTAAAAAAAAAACTGAGCGATTGACATGATGAGTCTTTACGGTGTTGTTGTCACACAATAACTCGTTCGCGTCTGAAGCTGTTAGAGTCGTTGGTGAGGTTTACTTCGCTTTATTCGCCTTAAGATCCTTATAAACTTTGTTGCAAATAAAAAGAAATGCTTTTTACTAAAGATCTTGTCTAGAAAGCCAAGTTTTCGTTAAAAAAAAACTGAGCGATTGACATGATGAGTCTTTACGGTGTTGTTGTCACACAATAACTCGTTCGCGTCTGAAGCTGTTAGAGTCATTGGTGATGTTTACTTCGCTTTATTCGCCTTGAGATCCTTATAAACTTCGTTGCAAATAAAAAGAATTGCTTTTTACTAAAGATCTTGTCTAGAAAGCCAAGTTTTCGTTAAAAAATCTGAGCGATTGACATGATGAGTCTTTACGGTGTTGTTGTCACACAATAACTCGTTCGCGTCTGAAGCTGTTAGAGTCGTTGGTGAGGTTTACTTCGCTTTATTCGCCTTAAGATCCTTATAAACTTTGTTGCAAATAAAAAGAAATGCTTTTTACTAAAGATCTCGTCTAGAAAGCCACGTTTTCGTTAAAAAATCTGAGCAATTGACATGATGAGTCTTTAAGGTGTTGTTGTCGCACAATAACTCGTTCGCGTCTTAAGCTGTTATAGTCATTGGTGATGTTCACCAATGTTCACCGATGTTTAAGCTTCTGTTTGATGTTCACCAATGTCCAATGTTTTTTTACTAAATATCGTTTAATTTTCTGTATGTTTAGCTTCTAATAAGTTGTATTGGATTGACGACCAACTCGCCGACGTCTCTACTCGATTTTATACGTCGGCGAGTTGGTGTCGGCGAGTTGGTCCGTCGGCGAGTTGACCGTAAACCAATAACCCCTGTGACTCGGAGTTTGTGATAGGTAGGAACAAAACAGCACAAGTTGCTAGAAAAAAGTTTCCATTGCATCCTGCAGCAGCAAAAACAACTCACAGTTCACAAGGTGATAATAAAACTAGAATTGTTGAGAATTTTAGTACCAGAAAGATTATTCCACACACATTATGTGGGGCTCCGCAGGGTGACTGCTATAGAAGGCCTATATATTTCTGATTTGTGTGAAAGCAAGATTGTTGTTAATCCAGTTATTAAGAAGGAAATGAAGAGATTACGAACTGCAAAACTTAAGCTTTGCATCTCCCTTCTCTATGACATAACACCATCCCTTCTTAAACTGTGTTATCTTAGTGCAAGGTCTCTTCACAAGCACATAGAAGACATACATAAAGATTTAAATTATTCAAGTGCTGATATCAATATGTTCACAGAAACAAAATTAAGTTCTCAAGATAACAATGACATGTATGACATTGCTGGTTATGCTCTCTTTCAAAATGATAACCTTAATTCCAGCAATGGATCAAGGCCTTATGGTGGTGCAGCTGTGAACAGTAAAATTCCATTCTTACCTGGATACCCCTATTGTCACAATATACATAATGTTGAAATAACAGCAATCAAGTTGACCAGTTTACTCTTTACTCTAAATTGGCTTCTTAAAACAGACAGAAGACCTATGTATAATCTTCTAATGAGGGATAAACATTACAAACAACTCATATCAGCTTATACAACTGACAACAACACAGTAATTGATCATATGTATGCAAATATATCTAACATTGATGTACAAGCACATGTTTTAGACATATTTCACAGATCATAAAGCTGCTTAGGCCTCATTTCACAGTGTCATATAACAAAATATTATATCATAATGTACTGTCAGGTGGCAAATCCATCTTCCGTGTTTGCCCAAGATACAAGTAAAACCACCAGTGGCATGTAACAGCCAAGCACCTTAGATTTCAGATTTTCCTTGGCTAGTGATGCAAGTCACACCAGTGATAGCAAAGAACATCCAGGTGCATTGGATTTATCACTGTCTTCAATGGGTGACTCCAGCTCCATGGAAAAAGAAGTCAGGCAGACAAGTTGCATTTCACAGCAGCCACAGTGTTCCAAAAAAGAAGAGTGAACCATTTCAAGGCACCAATGATGCTGTTATTGCTTACATTCATCAGTTATTGCCATCAAAAAGGAACAAGAAAGATACAGTGTTCTACTCTACTCTGTTGTAAACCAGCAAAAAAGGATCTCAAGGTGTGCTGCTTTATTCCAGAAGTCTCACACTCCAGTGAAAACACAGCAATTCAAGCACACAAGTGATGGCACTAAACTTCTCATCCATAACTTAACCAAGTATTCCTTCCAGTATTCTGAGGACACAATGGCTACATTGCTAATCCTCTCAGTTGCAAAAATTTTTAATTCTTTCAGTGACTGGAATAAAGTAATCATTTATGGAAAGATTGTTTACATTTGCGATCAAGAACTTGCTTGTCAAAACAAACTGAGATTGGTACAAGCCACCTTCACAGATGTTACGTGACTAATGTATGCTCGCTTAATTATGTCAGATATGCTAATGTATTCGTTAGAAGTCACATGATCTTGTGTACATGCCATTCAACTAGAGTGCAATAAAAGATTTGAGCACGAAACATGGTGGCAGCGTGAAAGCTCGTCAAACCTTTACACCGTTTGAGTTCGAGCGCAGAAAAGAACCCTGAATCCGTTCAGTACGCAGAAACAAATCTTGAAACCGTACAGATGGCTGATCCACCGCCGTCTTCGAGTGGAAACCCCTCACAGCAAATTTTCCCGCCGCCGATGATGCAGAGCATACAACCGCCCACTGGCTTAAAACTGTCGGCGAAAGACAAGGCCGTAAACTGGAAAGTTTATAAACAGCAATGGGAGAACTACTCCATCGTAGCACAGCTCGACAAGCAGACGGAGGAATACAGAGTGGCATTATTCCTTTACTCAGTAGGACCCGACGCGGTCAAGATTTACAACAGCTTTAACCTCAGCAACGAAAACCGGCGCAAGCTGTCCGAGATAATCAAGCAATTTGACAATTTTGCGATCGGTGAGACGAACGAAACGTACGAGCGTTACGTCTTCAACAGCCGCGATCAAAAGGAAGGAGAATCCATAGATGACTACGTAGGAGAACTTTGGACACTTGCACAAACATGCAATTTCTGCACGTGTTTACACGACACACTCATCCGCGACCGAATCGTACTTAGCCTAGGTGATGGAGGAACGCGCAAACGCCTATTGCTTCAAGGCAAACTAACTTTGCAAAAGTGCATCGAGATCGCGAAAAGCGACGAAGTCTCGAACACACAGCTTATGAATATGGATCAGACTACACAGGAACCTGAAGATGTCCATAAGGTGAAGATGGAGAGACCGAAGAAACCAGAGCGCAAATACCCGAAGCAAACGGGCCGAGATAATCCGAACCGGAAACCCAACGATGACAACACAAGCAACAGGCCATGTGATTTCTGTGGGCGAAAACATCGTAAAGGCAGAACCAATTGCGCTGCTTGGGGCCGTATTTGTGGAGCATGTGCTCAGTGAGAGTTCAGAGTGATCATAAGCCACTAGCCGCCATCTCCAACAAGCCACTCCGAAGCGCACCCAAGAGATTACAAGGGATGCTGTTGAAGATTCAGAAGTATGACGTGACCATTGTCTACAAACCAGGCCCAGAGATGTACCTCGCAGACACCCTCAGCAGGGCATTTCTTCCCACCACTGGGAATACCCAAGGAGAATTCGAACGTGTAAACGCAGTCAAACTACTGCCAATGACTGATGAAAGACTGGAGGAGATTAGGAGCAGCACCCGTGATGATGACGTGTTGCAGCAGTTAAAGGAAGTCATCCAGATTGGTTGGCCAGAGGAAAAGCAAGAACTTCCAGCAGTACTTGCACCCTACTTCAGCTTCAGGGACGAGATGAGCATCTATGACGGTCTTATCTTCAAAGGAGAGCGACTCCTCATCCCGAAACAGATGCCGCCAAAGATGAAAGAACGCCTTCACAGCTCACACATAGGTGTCAATGGCTGTTTGAGGAGAGCTAGAGAGTGCATGTACTGGCCCAGCATGACCGCCGAGCTAAAGGAGTACATCTCACAATGCGAGACGTGTAGCAAATATGAGGTGAGGCAGCAGAGAGAGTCCTTGATGAGCCATGAAATTGCAGAACGCCCATGGGAGAAGATTGGTACAGATTTGTACACCATCAATGGCCAGGACTACCTGATCGTTGTTGACTATTTCTCAAATTTCTGGGAAATCGACCACCTTCCTAACACAACAGCCAGCACTGTCATAAAGAAGCTGAAATGCCACTTCGCGAGACAAGGCATACCAGACATCGTCATAAGTGACAATGGGCCACAATTTGCTTGCAAGAAATTCAGTAACTTTGCCAACGAATGGGGTTTTGAGCACCGACCAGGAAGTCCTGGACACTAACAGACAAATGGCAAGGCAGAAGCAGCTGTCAAAGAGGCGAAACGACTTCTGCGAAAGGCCAAAGACACCAAAGGTGACCTTTACCTTGCAGTACTGGTGCATAGAAACACCCCTACTGAGTCAATGGGGACCAGTCCTGCCCAACGGTTACTTGGAAGGTGTTGTAAGACACAACTCCCGATAACCAAAGAGCTACTAAAGCCGCAGTGTGTACCAGCTGAAACAGTAAAGAGGAAGACGCAGGCAAAGCAGGCGCGGCAAGCTCTGTATTACAATAGAGGAACGCGTGACCTTTCCCCCTTAGAAGAAGGAGCTCAGGTCAGGATGAGACCATTACGACTAAGAAAAAGAGTATGGGAACAGGCCACGGTGGCGAAAAGACATGACGAACGTTCCTATGAAGTCGAGACGGAGAAAGGGACCTACCGAAGGAACAGGGCAGCCCATACCACAGAGGTCCCCACAGTGGACACCACCAGCCCTACAAACCTCTGAACAGACGCCGTCACACACTCCAAACAAGAATCAGGAAAAGATTCAAGCTGGGGCCAACAGCACCCAGGAAGCATCGGTCCAGTCGGGGGCCAATCAGCAAGTAGTACATGCTCCTGAAGCACAGCGCCCCAAAAGGACTGTCAGAGAACCTGCCTACCTTAAGGACTACTTGCACTAAGGACTCTGAACATTTTTTAGAAACTGGACTTGACGTTTTGATTAAGGAGCATTGATTATGTTATTGCGATTATTGTTTTCAAGTTGTCATCCCAAAGGAAGGGGGATGTTACGTGACTAATGTATGCTCGCTTAATTATGTCAGATATGCTAATGTATTCGTTAGAAGTCACATGATCTTGTGTACATGCCATTCGACTAGAGTGCAATAATAGATTTGAGCACGAAACAACAGATACAACTGAAACAATCACAATTGACCTTTGGGAAGAAAATATTGCAAGGACCAAAATTGAAACTGTCTACCAGATTGCACCAATTCAGGTACACGTTTGGAAAAAAAGCAAAAAAACTCAACCATGCACAGTTCAGCTGTTACACCTGAAACTGATACAACAATCGTTCAGCTTCAAATTCCAGAAGAACAGATGAAGTTTGCAAATGAAACTCTGACAGTAAGCATACCAAATGTTCACACAATTGAGAAAGTAGAAACATTTGTTCCATGCGTCAACTGTACGAAAAGAATTCTGAAAGGAACTTCAAGTAATGTAGTACACTGTGATTGGCGTGGACACACAATGAAAATTTTTAACTGCCCACAATATGTTTGTGCAAAATTAGTTATAAATTTCAATGGTCAATAAATCTAGTTAACTCCCTTTCAGGATGTGCTAAGTAATGTAATTAAGGGAAACTTCCCCGGGTTTTGTGTGGTAGAGATAGCAGAAATGCTGCTACCCTTGGACAATTTAACTGTGGTGTATAATGCAAACTCTTGATTAGTAAAAAAAATGAAAGCAGCCTGTTGTGTTTCCTCTGTAGTTCTTTGTTGTACTTTTTAACTTCAAAGTTGGTTATTTGAACTCCTATGCAAAGCTTCTTTCATTCGTATTTACAATACACCCAGTTCCCAGCCACGCAGTTTCAGTAGTCGTTACATGCCATGACAATTTCACTGTTGAAGTTACAGTGGTCTTTGTTTTGCCATAAATTCATTATGCTCAGTTAAAAGATTTGCAAAAGTCAAGCATTTAATACAATTTTACAATGAAGTCTTGTTACAGTATAGAAAAGTTTTAGAACTTAAAAATTGTCCATTTGAACCTTGCACAAAGCGTACATTAGGCATACTTATGGGAAGTTCTGGTGCGAAAGATTGGTATATCCAACTCATTTTGGTGGCCATTCCAAATTATGGTCAAGTTGCCATATGCTTCCCGTTTAAGGAAAGACTTCCTTTAGTTTTTTGCTTATTCATTGGTACTACAGTACTAATAGTGTTCACCTGTACTACAGTATGAACAGTACATAAGATAACTGTGTCACTAGCATACCACCATACTAGTGCACTAACTCCACTTCTCCAAACATGAATGACCTGTGTCGTTTATGTACCAGTGTTCAGAGGCGGATCCAGGGGAGGGGTTGAGGGGGTCACAACCCCCCCTTTGAGCAGCTTTTTTTTGTTATTGTTATTTTGCTTGATTCTTCCTAAAAGTAATAGAATAAATTGTTTTTACGAAGTTATTTCACTTTTACCATTCGACTGCTTGTCAAGTTATGAAAAGATAATGTACATTTCGCAAAGGTCGTATCAGGTTCAGGTATATTAAAACAGGCGACATGAACAGGTGACATTCATTGAAAAGTAAACGAGGGGGATTGAGACCGACCGAATGCTTGAGTATTGTTGAAGTGAGTACAACGTTTGACGGAAAATGAAGAAAATAACAGACTTTTATGCAAAGAAATCAGGTAAGTTTGTGGTTCTTTTTCAAAAGAAGTAGTTTAATTTAATTCTATAACACCAAAAACTGTTTTCAACAGCCAGCATCCTCGACATACCGTGTAATTTATAAACAAAGTGCATGCGTTTTCCATCATGCCGCCATCTTGCCAACTGACTGGCGAGATAATCATTCCTTTCAAATATAAACATTTTGCAGATTCAGCGACTGACGAATTAAGGTCTCAAGAATCTGCGAGTAATAATGAAGGTATTAACGAAGGTAAGCAGAAATAAAACTGTCATTAAAATTTATCATGATAATAAGACTTAATTAATACTTCTCTAAATGAACTGTCATGATAAATACAGAAAGAAGCTGTTCTGCTCCTCCGAACAAGCTGCCAAAACTCAGCAACCCAGACGATCAAGCTGGAGTGTCCGGGATCGAAGGTAGAAAATTCTAATTTTTTTTTATCTGAATGTTAAACTTACATTGACCAGTCCGAGAAAAAAAGTATTTATTCAAATGATGCAAGAAGTCTGGAGAATTCCAAGTAAAACTGACTAGTATTAATTTCGTTTTGTACACAGCTTTGCCTGATGAGGTATTGGTCGAGGTGTTTAAAAACTTCTCCCTTAAAGAAATGCTTAAAACATTGTGCCTGGTCTCACGAAGGTGGAGGCACATTGTAAACAATAACAACATCCTGTGGAGTTGCCTCCTTCTTGATGAGTGGCACATAACATATTTAAGTTAAGAACAATTTATGAACATCATGTCACACTCCAGTGGGTTCAGATATTTATCCATAAGATATATCGAAATGACAACATCCGAAATGAGGCTGGAAGCATTACTAGGAAATAGTATAGAATTTTCTAAACATTTGAGATATTTGGATTTAAGTGGACAACCGATATCATCCCTTAATTTCCTATTGATTGAGTCCTCTCCTCTTGAAACCTTGATCCTTAATGACTGTCAAAAAATAGATACCTGTTGTTGTACTGCTATTTTAAAGCAATTAAGAAATCTTAGAATATTATCGCTCGACCGAGTAGGATTCACTGCCAATCAAGTGGTAACAATTACTGCCTCTTTATGCTTATTGAATGTTCTGTGCCTGGTTGGTGTAAGCCTTGCGAGGGAAGACATAAGACTGATTTTGCAAAAATTGAATCACCTTCAGTTTTTTGAAATATCTTGCAGTTCTGAAGATAAAGAACATATCTATGCTCTAGGGGAAGAATATGACGTTAGTTTTGTTCGCCGCTAAGAGTAAAAATATGTTATATAACACGGTGGCCTAACAGTGTTGTGTTATAGAAAATAGTTTATTATAACATTTACTGAAGGTCTAACCAAGACATTTTGTATCAGCAGGCTATGGTATTTTTTTTTAATTTGTGTGTATGACAACTTCAAATATTGTCAATTGAAATTTTGTCAAATAAAAAGTATTGAGGTTATTTGAAGTAGGTAAGGGACTAACATATTAGGGGTTATGAATGTATACAAATAGTTGTTTTTATAAATTTTAGATGTAGTTACAAAAGGCCCTGTGGCTGCCACTTCTGGTTCAACCACAGGCACAAAGATCGATTTGGGTACTGTTGTGAAAGCTGCTGAAGGCTCGTGGGGTGTTTTGAAGCGATTACCGCAGGAAATTACAGATGAAAAAAGAATGCAATACCTTACGTTTCACTGGAAGCCTTCTGAGTCCGATATACTTCATTCTCATCAAGTTATCAAAGGAAAGAAGACGTGGAAAAATTCCTTTCAATCCAAATGGCTAAAACAGTTTCCATGGCTTTGCTACAGTAACTTACTTGAAGGTGGTATTTGTAGTCACTGTATCTTATTCCCTCACAAAGTTACCAAGGGAACAACACCAGGTGTATTGGTCACAGCACCATACCAGAAATCGTACACTAAGGCACTTGGCAAGGATGGCATCCTCAACTGTCATGAGCAATCTGTGATGCATAAATATGCAACTGAACAGGCAGACCTCTTCAAACAAACTTTTGAGAATCCTGACAGGTGTAGAGTAGATTCCCAGCTGGCGACGTCCGTAGCCAATCAAGCCACTGAGAACAAAGAAATTCTACGACAGATTGTTTTGGCTGTAGAGTTTCTGGCAAAGCAGAGTCTGGCCTTTAGAGGTCATTGTGATGATCGTGTTGATTTTTCTAGTTATGAAATTAACAGAGGAAACTTTGTTGCCCTGCTACAATTACTGGTGAAAGGAAACGACTCTCTTCAGAAGCACCTCTTGTCATCAAACAGACAAGCAAGATATACTTGCAAAACTATCCAGAATGATGTCATTCACGTGTATGCGTCAAAAATTAAGGAAAGGCTGATAAAAGACCTAAGGACCAAGGACCTTCCTTTCACGATTATAGCAGATGAGTGTACAGATCCACATTCAAACCAGGAAATCTTATCTTTATGCTTGAGGTTTGTGGACCAGTCAACGCCAAACGATCCTCATGTCAAAGAATGCCTAATTAGTTTCATGCACTTGGAACGAACAAATGCCGCCATGATTTCAAGAAAGATTTTGGAATCTCTCTCTCACCCATCTATTTCTTTGGATCCTAGCAACATCCGTGGTCAGGCATATGATGGAGCCTCCGTTATGTCAAGTGGAAAGGAAGGAGTGCAGGCGAAGATAAAAGAGACCAGACCAGCTCTTTACACGCATTGCTATTCTCACTGCCTGAACCTCTCCATCGCAGCAACATGCAAACTGCCAGAAGTGCGAAATTTGATAGGCCTGATTAACGAGGCATATCTATTTTTAAATAACAGCCCAAAGCAGCAGCAGCTGTTTGAGTTGACACTGAAAGAATACCTGCCTGAGAATTCTCGCAGCAAGCTTCCAGGTCTTTGCAAGACACGCTGGGTGGAAAGACACACGTGCCTAGATGTTTTCCTGGAAATGTATGAGCTCCTTGTCACCTTTCTAGATGCAGTTATTTCCCCCCACGAGTACCCACATTTGAAATCGTCTACTGGAAGCTGGAATTGGGACAAAGATACTATCACAAAAGCCCAGGGACTGAAAGCCTGTTTGTTGACATTCCAGAGTGTAGTGGTTTTCATTACAACCAAGAATATTCTTGATGAAGTTAAAGCTCTTGCATCAAAGCTGCAGAAACAAGATCAAGATATTTTTGAAGCTTACACAATGGTTGACGAAGTAATTGGAAACATCAAGTCTGCTAGAAAAAACATTGACTTGACTTTCAAGTCTAGTAAAAAGAAATGTTAGACCTTTCTGGGAAACTGGGAATCATTGAAGCTGTACCCAGAAAGACTAGCATACAGAGGAATCGCTCAAACATTCCCAGTTCTACTCCAATTGACCATTACATAAAATCTGTGGCTATTCCCCTTCTTGATTCCCTGACTATTCAAATGCAAGACCGATTTTCTGGCGAGGATCGCCACGCCCGTCACTTGCTTTATCTAGTACCCTCAATCATAGTTAATAACTCCCAGGAGCTATCTGAAGCAGCAAAAGGCATGTTGTTCTGGGAGAATGACCTTCCATTTCCCAAATCCCTTGGAAATGAGCTGCGACTATGGCAAACTATGTGGCAGTCAGCAGAGAAGGAACTTCCAAACAATCTTCTATTAGCACTTGGTGTGTGTGACGAGGATACTTTTCCAAACATCCATCATCTTCTTCTAATTGCATGCACCCTACCAATCAGTAGTGCGGAAGCTGAGCAGTCCTTTTCACTCATGAAACGGATCAAGACCTGCACCAGATCAACGATGTCGGAAGAGCGCTTCTCAGAACTCGCCGTGATCGCCATGCATTACCCGGAGAGATTCGAAGTAGACGAGATCTGCGAGGCTTTTGTAAAAGCTCACCCTAGAAGACTATTTCAGGCTACGTTGTTTGATTGAGGTACGTTGAGGTTCAAATAACTATTGTTGATACTGCCGTCCCTTTCAATCATGCATTATTATTTTTAGGTTTCTGAATGAGAAATAAAGTAAATTCCAGATTTTATATCATGCCTTTACAACGCTTTTTAAGTCTCAGGAATTCTGCTAATGGCCTTTTTAGAGGGAAAAATCGTAAACATTATGTTTTGGGGGGAGGGGTATGGCTCCCGACCCACTCAAGAGATCGCGCCAGAGGCAGGGGCCGTCACTCGCCTTCCACACCATTGGTGTTCAAGGTTACTTCAGTAGTGTACAACCCCCCTTTCAGAAATTCCTGGATCCGCCCCTGGTGTTTGATTAGAGGATTGCATGTCACTTGCGTACCAACATACTAACTCCACTTCTCCAACTACCATGAATGACCTGCGTCCTTATGTACAAGCATTCGACCAGAGGACTGCATGTCACCAGTGTACCAACATACTAGCATACTAACAACAATTCTTGAACAAGCATGAATGACTTGCATACCAACGTACTAGGGTTCAATTAAAAGACTGCATGTCTCGTGTACCAACGTACTAACTCCACTTTTCCGACAACCATGAATGACCTGCATTCTCATGTACAAGCATTCGATTAGAGGACTGCATGTAACAAGCATACCAACATACTAGTGTACTAACTGCACTTCTCGAACAAGCACTTGCATACCAACATAGTAGTGTTCAATTAAACTTGTGTACCAACATACTAGTATACTAACATCACCTCTCGAATAGAGTACGAAAGTGTGATGTCACGCTTCCATGGCAACCTGAGCTGTGATGTCATTCAAGGACTAGTATCTCACAAAGTCTTTGCGATAGTATCTTAAATAATATCCTTACATTAGTTCTGGTGAAAAGGAAAACAGCTTTGATCAGTCGTTGACTCGCATGATATGCTTGAAAAATTCAGTAGACTATAAATAAATACATTACCATGAGATTCATTCATTCATGCTTTAGTTGGAAACTGTTTACAGTTCATGACGAACGACTGCCTAATGAACCATATGGCAAGTGGTGACCTGATCCTTGCAGACAAGGGGTTCTTAATTCAAGACATTGTCCCAAAGGGTGTCTCTGTGAACATTCCTCCCTTCTTACAGAATGGAAAATTCACTGCCAGTGAGATCAGGGCTACTAAAAACATTACAAAATGCAGAATTCTCGTTGAAAGGGCTAATGCACGGCGGAAGGATTTTAAGATACTAAACTTTGTACCCCCCTACTTAAGATGTTATGCTGACAAAGTATTTCAAGTCCGTGCTGCCCTTGTAAATCTTCAGTTTCCACTGATAAAGGAAGGATGTGAAGGTGCAGAATTTGAGTAAAGATGTGCATGTAATGGAGAAATTGAGAGAGTATTTAATTAATATGTATTAGCTTTGATGCTTGGGTGATTAAGACAATCAATTAACCTTGATGTATTGTTTTTGTTGTTTTCTTTAAGCTTGAGAATCAACTTTAAATTCCAACATGTCAGAGTTAGCCCATCTATTTGGCCTTTATGTTTAGAAAATAAGGGTGCATTTCCTATTTTTGTAATGTATAGTATGTTAACAAAATAATAGAGCATTTGTCTGAAGTCACATACAGTAAAGCCAGCATTTTCAGCTGTAAACAAATGCAACTCTAATCTTAAATCAGGTAATTTAGTGTTAACAACTGGGTTGAAAACGTAAATTAGCCACCGTAAAGGCTAAAAAAGCTGACGTTTTGAGCGTTAGCCCTTCGTCAGAGCGATTAGAATTCCACAATTCCTCTAATCGCTCTGACGAAGGGCTAACGCTCGAAACGTCAGCTTTTTTACCCTTTACGGTGGCTAATTTACGTTTTCAACCCAGTTGTTAACACTAAATTACCTGCTATACTCTCCCACTGACACAGCACCACAGTTTCTTTAGAAACTTACCCCTTTATTCTAATCTTAAATGTTATAGAAAACACAACATCAAGAATATTTGATAATTCTCAATAAAAATGGGTTTGTTTTCATTACTGAACATGGAAGGTTGCTGTTCTTGTTATTGTTCCAGTATTAAAATTGTCTAACGGGAACATGGTACAAACTTCCTGCTGGTTTTAAACCTCGCAATAATTCTACAAACTATAGTTCTCCCTCAACAATTTTGGGGAAGAGGTGTTTAAAGTAAAATTCCCTGAGCCTGGTAAGGTTTTCTTCCCAGGATGGATCCTTCTTGATTTCATTAACTACACACCAGCGATTTGTCCAAACAACAAAGTAACAGTAATTTCGTTTGGCTAAGTACATTTGCCCTTGCACTTGGTGCCAGTAGACATGATTCCTTTTTGGTGAGTACGATCCATCCTCTTTTTTCTCCAAACAAAATGTGTCACTTTTCAAAGCTTCCTCAATACTTGCATCTCTGAATGTATAGGAACACTTCGCCTCTAGAACATGGTCTTCACCCACTAATCCATCAGGGGAAGCTCCAAGAATGCCTGACTCGTCAAGCCACACCCCAGTCTCAACAACTTCAAGATGAGTTTTGGCAGTAAATGTTTTGATGGCTTCAGCCTCATTTGTGACTCCCCATGCCACAGCTTTGACACGTGAGATGTCATATTCCCCCAAGAGACGCTTAATAAGGGATGGGGTAACCCTCTTAGCATTGATGACGGAGCCAAAATTGCTTGCAGTCAAGCGCCTCTTCCTCACTAAATGCCAGGAGGGATTGTTTCCCTGACTGACAGTTAAAGAGCTGATCTGATTTACAATTTCTCTCTCAACCTTTAATTTTCGTCTGATAAACTCTAGTTGTTCAGCAGCAGTAGATAGAGTGAGAAATTCCTCGGAAAAAATTAGCTCTTCCACTGTTGAGACAGACAGATCCCCCAGTTGTTTTGGCTCTGGGCTTAACAGCCAGCATAGGCCAGTGAACTTTCCATACGCTCGCAATTCTGAATACAGCGCTTCTTGATCGCCTTGATTTGGTTGTCGGAGTAAGGCTGTATATCCTGGCTTGGTTGGAGGAAACATTTCAGAAATAGATTTCCGAGAAATATCAGGTGCATTCCGTTTTTTCCATGAACACTCAACATCAGTCCAACTCAAGTTATAAATTCCATAGATGAACAGAGCTGCAGCATGGCTACATTTATAAGCTCCCCATGGACACTCGCACTCGCACTCGCTCGATTTAATCGCATTGTTTTGGTCAAGGTATATCTCAAAAGAAAATTAAAATAAACAAAGTTTAACAGTATTTTTCTATAAGCTTTCATTTCAATGGTGGTCATTTACCGCATTTCACTTACCGTCACATTATACACTTTTTTTTTCATACTAGCGTGAACCTGGCCCTTCAAAAAACCTTGACTTGCACTAAAGCTTTCCACATGGTTAGATTTGAAGTGATTTTCACCTCGTGAAACGGATTTATTCTCATTTTCGAAGAAAGAAAGTAGAAATGCAATTGTCAGCACCACCATCTTGTTTCACGAGCGTTTGTTTAGAACAGGAAATTTGGTTCCCATGGAAGCGTGACGTAACTCTTTCGTACTCTATTAGCACAAATGACTTGCATACTAATGTACTACTGTTCTTTTAAAGGACTGGAACCTAGCAGACTCGTGTAAGGCAGTCTGGTAGAAAATAAATGGTGCACGGTGTAATAAGGTACTAAGTTGACCCTTTTTTTAATGTGGCATTGCGGTGAAGAACAAATCGCATTGTGGTGTTGCTTAAATAAATTTGTTTTCAGTGAAATAAACCATTTCTGAGTTGCAGTCTATTCTCTAACCTAGAGAAAACTAGGATTTCGATAAAACCGTGGTAAATTGTCCCACAAAATAAGCGATAAATCCAAATGAATCTTAAATAAACATTAGCTGACTGACCCCTAACTGAATTCAGTCATATTTTACTTGACCCCTAGACATGCACTATCTGTCAGCCAAAGACTAGCACGAGGTAAAGATGAGCGAAACCAAAACATTCAAATGCTAAGACTTAGAATATATTGTGATGTCGGTGCTTTGATAATATTTTTGGGTGATGTGGTGTTAGTTCCATTTTGTTAGTGGTAATGCAGTATTCAGAAGCCCCCAAGTCCCCCTCTTGTTTCTTTGTTGCCAATTACAAAAATACTCTTCTAATCCAGAGCCTTCTCATTTCCATTTTGAGGTGGTAAATATCCCATGTATCAACTGTTTTTTAAAAAGAAAATGACATGCAAGTGTGCTTATAAATTACTATTGACGATATCTGAAAAAAAATTAATATTTCTGATTCTTTTTGTCCTATATGTAGCTTTGAATGGAAAAATACTCCAGAGTTCAAGAGAGTGTTCACTACTGCACTGCCTATATTTGATTATTTTTGTCTTCATCAAAGTTTTGTTCACCCCATACCGACATTTTCTTGTCACCTGCATCATGTTTTAGCATTCTCAGCTTTCTTTAGCAAAACTCGTCAGGAAATTGAAAGGGATGGAGGTGAGACATTTTTTGCATTATTCTCTTCATGTCCTAATTGTATTTTAGTGAGCGATTGTTTCAAACAATAATTAACCAGTATCAATTAATATGAAATCCCTTGTTGCCCGCAGCAACAGTTGTTTATTTAACAAATTGCAGAAGCTTTCGAGCCCTATAACAATAAGAACTTATTCCTCTGTTATTAAGTGCAATTATCAAGTTGCTTTCTATTTAATTCTTTTTTCAATTATTTGGCAAAAAAACTGCATACATAGTTGACCACAGTTTGATTCCATTACATTCACTTCATCACTTCTTTCAGCAGCATCATGAAGAAGCAGCATCTGGCCGAGTGCTTTCAGCCAGATATGATCACTGGCCAAATCTGTGCATCCAAGAGGAGATCGATGCAGTTATATTGATGAAGAGTTTCGACCCCTCTTTCGTGATTAGAAACAACGTTCTATTAAAGGAAGATCAAGCCCTTCTTTTGTTGTCTGTGGCCATGGGTCTTCATGGTGTAGTCATTTTAAAGTTGGCTTTGGATCACGTCCCTCCCACTTTAAGCAAGACAATGCGAAGATCAAGTGTTCTGATTTGGTTTTCATTCATCTCAGACATGACATCCAAGATGGGTTTTCCATCGTCGCCAGCTGAAGTGAAATCCTCCTTTGAGTTCTTGGAACAATATTGCCCTAAGTTTCTATCCTCCTCCATTGCTCTAGAAGACATTTTATGGTCTCTTACTGGAGATAACTGTTGTCATTTCAACAAGTTCATCATTACCCAAGAGGAATCGTGTTTGAAATGTGAATAGCGCCTTCAAATGCACAGCAGCCCCACGAAAGTAATTGTTCATGGTTCAACAGGCCCTTTGCCTGCCAGTAAGTTAGCTCTTGAGTGCAAAGAGTGTAAAACTACATATGGCATTGGGCACTTCACTGACCAAAGTGGAGCACATATTTATCCAAAAGGTATTCATTCACCTTTCACTGAGGCAAGCAACGTGTCCTATATGGATCATAATTTCTACAAGTGGAAACCGAGCCTTGGGTGAGTGTTGTTCCATTCAAGATATATGTTCCCCTAAACTTGAGTAACCAGTTTCATGTACTTGATTGATAAGATTATTTGAGGAAAAAATTAAAATCCTTTGATCTTATCTTTTTTCAGAGAAACCACTGCTGGGTCTCATTCAGTGGGTTCTTGGAGGCATATAAAGAGGCTTTTTCAGCAGAGGTACAAAAGTTTACTGACTGCCTATCAGGTGGGAAATGGAGTTTACTTTTTTGTACAGGATATTGCATGCAGCAGCACGCAATATATGCAAAGGTTGGCAAAGCAGGGGTTTCCAATAACACATTATGCTGAATTTTTCTATTAAATCATGCATGATTATTTTTTATCTAATCACACGTCATGTATAAAGGAGTAACTACACCAAGCAAATACTACAACCCATCGGATGCTTTATTCGAAATTATATTGCATCCAAAATTGTTTATTCTGGAATGAATTGCTTTCTACTTGTCTTATTGCTCTTTGTTACACAAGCTAAGACAACCTACATGTTGAATTAGACGCTTCAAGCTTCATATCGCAATATCAGAGGGCACTCTACTAGTATCAAACACACTCACCACAGCATGTTCATTTGTTTAGTATGTTAGTACCGTAGCACTCAGTACAGACACTCACCACAGCATGTTTATTTGCTTAATATGTTAATACCATAGTACTCCGTACGGACAACTCATCACAGCTTGTTCTTCATTTTTTTAGTGCCTTAGTACATTAGTACCATAGTACTCGGTACAGACACTCACCATGGCATGTTTATTTGCTTAGTACATTATTACCGTAGTACTTAGTAAAGACAACTCATCACGGCTTCTTCTTCATTTGTTTAGTGCCTTAGTACATTAGTACCATAGTACTCAGTGCAGACACTCACCACAGCATGTTTATTTGCCTAGTGCTTTAGTGCCGTAGCACTTGGTAGGGACAACTCATCACAGCTTGTTCTTCATTTGTTTAGTGCACTAGTACATTTGTACTGTAGTTCTTGGTACAGACAACTTGTCACAGCTTATTCTTCATTTGTTTAGTGCCTTAGTACGTTAGTACTGTAGTACTTGGTACAGACAACTCATCACGGCTTGTTCCTCATTTGTTTAGTGCCTTGGTATGTTAGTACTGTAGCACTTGGTATGGACGATTCATCACAGCTTGCTCTTCATTACTTTAGTGCATTTGTACGTTAGTACTTTACTACTTAGTATGGATGACTCATCACTACTTATTCTTCATTTGTTTAGTGCGCTAATACCTTACTACTGTAGTACTCAGTATGGATGACTTATCACAGCTTGTTCTTCATTTGTTTAGTGTGCATGTACATTAGTACCACGGTGCTTGATATAGACAACTCATCTTATCTTAACTTATCTTCTTCTTGACTGATTATTTCATTAATAAATAATGATATGGGAAAAATTATGTGTTTTAGTTTGGACAAATTTTCAGTATTTTATGGCAGCGCAGATCAAGTTTATTCTTCCGGTTTTGACCTAGTTCCTGTGTTCTATTCATTCTTTCACTCAAGCGGTTAAGCAAGAAAGGATGATGAATGGCTTTTTCTATTCAAATTGTTGCTATTATTGTAAAATTACAACCAGAGCAATTGAATTGATAATGTAAAATATTATATTTAGGGTTTTCATGGTTTTTGGGACAAATATCTTCCATATGTATTCGCATACTTTTCCATTTGAAATATTGGGTTTATTCAGGTTTTCCTTCTAGTAAGTTAAATAAAATGTATAAAAACCGCAGTAGCTTTTGGAATAGATTTTGCTTGTTACTTGCTTTCATTATATGCACCTGATTTTCGGCACTTTTGTTATTTATTACTGTTAATTTTTGGGGTAAATACAAGTGTTAATGGTCTTTCTGGAAAAATTGGTTCTCATGGTCGTTGGCAGCTGAGTTTATACTTGTAACTTTAATTTCTTTTCACATGATAGTTTCCACACCAACCTTGCATAGACAAGCAGACACTTTTAATTGCTTTTCTGTTTTTATTTCCTAAGCTGCTCTGCTGCAATTAAGATAGGTATTATTTTCTATTCAACAGCTGTGAATTTGCACCTAACTTTCCTATTTCTGATGGCCTCGAGTTTATTGCATCAGTCTTTTTAATTTTGAGATTCTTTCTATTGTAGACAAAGATGGAATATCTAAGTAGATTTCGTTTAACTTCAAAGAGACCTTTTCCGCTCCTTTGTGTCCTTATTCAAGTATTGTGATTTGTGTAACAATAGCACCTCACACCAGTTAATTCTTAAGCAAGTACCTTGTACAGCTTTGATGATTTCAAACTTGAGTACGCTAGAAGTCATGCCGCTTGTTGACCTGACCTAGAATAAAAGTCTACTGTGGAACCAAAACGCTGTCTCTTCCTTGACGTCCGTACAAGCTTGCTCAAAGCAGATCTCCGTGTACCAGGAAATCGTGACGAGTTCTCGTTCTCACTAGCCGAGTGGTCTCTACTGAGCTAATTTCCCCCGTTTGTATGTTTTCTGGAAATTCCAGTTTAGTGCGCAAAATCTAGTGTCACAATAATTCCTCAGCACAGATGTAAACAAACAGATAAAAGAAGGTAAAGTTTTTGGGCCTATAATGGGCAAGAGCAATACAAGAATAGAAAAGCAAAATAAAGAAGTCTGATCAAATCAGTTAAATTTTTGCAGTTCCTTAATCATCTATACTAAGCAGAAAACTAGAATAATGATTCCTATCAAGGGCATGGTATACAAGTTGCCAACGGTTCAGCTCACAAATGCCAACTTGCTGACGTATAAAATCGTCAGCAAGTTGGTCTTCAATCCGGCACAAATTCTTAGAAGGAGCAGATGGTGTCCAGGATTTTCTCCAAATTACAGATGAACTGGATTGCGTTGGAGTAGAAAAGGATTAGTGTGAAAAAGCTCAGAAAGGCTTCAGGAAAGCAAGTTGTAATTGAAGACTAGATACCATAATCACTGCAAAGAGGATGATTGCAAATGTGCCGATCACTGTATAGTTTTTGCGTTGAGTGATGCTGGTGACAGACTTTTAGAGAAAGTATGCAGTCACAGTCACAATGTGTAGTTTGAGGATTGTGAGAAGCTGAAGAGTGTTCTTAAAGAAGTAAGAGATGCTATTTCTAAGTTCACAATGCAATTGGGTAAGGTTAAAGAGGAAGACCATCTGTATGAAGCAAACAATGCTGCTGCTAAGATCTTTGAGTGGAAAGGGCATATCCTGAGAAGAGAGAACCAAGATCAGTGCAAATTCTCAAATCTCTGAACAGAGATGAAGCATTTATAGTAGTTGACTAGGCAATGAAGTTCCTTGCTATGAAGTTCCAGGAAAAGCAAAAAGAATGGTTTACCAGGAGGGGAATCGGTTGGCATGTGAGTAGCATTGTTGTAAGTTATTGGAGGAGAGCCTAGAAGTAACCTGCTACACACACCTTCTTAACAGCTGTAAAAGAGTGGTTTTCAGTGCTGTCAGTCCTTAAAAATCTCTCACATGGACAACATTCATTCACATATTATGGATGCAAGCTTTGGAAATGTATTTCTTGTGATTTTAAAGCTGCGGCCAGTGTAAATAGCTTCAGGCATCATTTAGCGCAGAAGCTATTAGGCAGCGCACATTTGTGTTGAGTATAACTTAATTTTTGAATTATATTCTTAAGTCTCTTGTAATTGATTCTAGCCATAAAATTTATTGTTTACCCATTACTCCTTCTCCTTTTAACTTATATGTATTTTAAATATTGTAGTTAGAGATTGTAACTGAAAAGCCCAAGTTGGGAGTCACAATAAACATATTTATTGTTTTTTTAGAGGGCACGGTAACGAATCTTGCAATCTGATTGGTTCTTTACCCGGTCAGTATTTTCCTATCTCTGCCCACGGGCCACAGTAACGCTTTCGTGAGTCGCCGAGTACATCCCAACTTTCGTTGTCATTTTTCATAAATATACCTCGTTTTCTGGCTGGGCAGTATTTTTAAGCAAACACGTCGGTCACTACCTCAAGACGATAAATAACTTATGAATCCTCTCTTTTCTCTCTATCAAATCACTTTGGTTGACAGAAAAATATTGGTTTCAGAATGAATTTGTATAAACAGTAGTGTCATTACGTTGGTTGACAAGCGGCCTAAAAACCTTCTGCAATTAATTTTAATCGTTCACAAAAAGTACCCAGAAGCTCGAGCAATTTGTTCATAGTGAAAGAGCGAGCGAAGTTTTAATTTAATTTCTACAACAAATATACGTTCCTGGTGAGTCTTTCCAATTCCGTTCAATTTGGACATTTGTACCTTAAATTGCACAACAGAAATTGAAGGAATTTTTTGAGAAAAGGCCGCATTACATTCCCTTGTGTCTCGTTGGAGTGTGCCGTTCGAATTTAGTTTTTGTGAAGGAAAGATCAGACTTAAACACGCCATTACAGCAAACAAACGAGCAAACTCTCACATCTTCAAAATAAAAAGATTGAATTTACTCACAATTAATTTCCTCGCTGTTTACTTAATGAACAGAGGTAAATCTTCGTACATGAATGAATGGTCGATGAGAGTGAATAATACTTTCCGTTAGATCATTAACTGATTTTGAAGAAAACATTGTTGTGACAGTCCTTGCCAAACTAGTTCTGTTGGTTTTCAAATGTTCCTACGCTTTTTTTTTCTTGTGCGCTCTCTAATTGACAGGTGTCAGATTGTGACAGATACTTGTAAAAATAATGTTTCAAAGTTTGTTTGGAAGCCTTTTAAATCACCTTTATCGTTACGGAAATGAAAATGTTTCGCTAAGGCATCTCTCTTAAATTTGCATCACCTCTATTTTAACTACCATTTACCCACTCAAAAATTGTTCAGTTTATGGAAGATCTTGCCGTATTTACGGCCATAAATCATTCGGGTTCTTTCGGAAAGAATTTCGTCAAGTTTAAAAACAATAAATATGTTATTTACCGGCTAAGGGTCGGTCCCTATGGTGAAAAACTATGACCTCGGTCTTGAAAATGCTGCCCGAGGCCGTAGGCCTCGGGCAGTATTTTCAAGACCTCGGTCACAGTTTTTCACCATACGGACCTCCCAGCCGGCAAATAACATATATGTATGTATGTATGTAAGACAGCTAGTTTTAATAGAGGAATTTAAGTGGTGCATTCACAGTGGCATCCGAACATTCATCAATGACCAAAAGGCTGGAACATTGGAGGATGCTGCACAATTAGCGGTTGAGTTTTCGTTGAGCCACGAAGTGAATTTCATGGAAAAACCCTGTCAGCTTCACACTCCATCTGGTAGAGTTCTGCCTCCTTCAGTGCCAGGATGGCTTTGGAAACCACAGAAGCTGGCAGAATGAATACTGCTAATAACCACGCAAATTGTTTCAGCCCCTCATGGTCAAGACAGAACAGTTTTGATCCAAGTAAGCTCATCAGGCCACCAACATGTTACTATTGCAGGAAGAAGGTCACCTGATTTCTAGCTGCTTCGAAAAGTGGAGAGTGGCCCAGAAACAAAATAGCGTGGAGCCCAAGCCTAATGGTTTTATTTCTAAGCCATTGCCTCTATATGATGTAAGTGAAGATACACCTTCCCAAGATCCAAGAAAGACCATAAGGGTTCAGTGTCATTGTCAAGTGTCCAACTCCATACCAATCAAGATTTTGAGAGACTCTGGAGCCTCACAGTCTTAACTGTTGAGTGACACTGTGGTGTTATCTGAGAAGTTGTCCACTGGTGTGAGTGTTCTGTTTCATATATAGTAATGCACCGTACTTGGTTGCACTTTTTGCTCCATATATTTTCTCGAAAATGTGTGTCTATTTTAAAGTCTTATGGTGATTTACCAGCTTTAAGGAGAAAGCGCGTTTTTAACATACCTTTTTGCAAAACAAATCAGTTGAAGAATAGTTTCATCGTGTACAGCACAACTATTTCCTAATGACTTTATCATGTGTAATGCAAATTTTAATATACATATATAGTATTTTTTAGCCTTTTATTATTTAGTTTTTTATTCTTCTTGTATTTAGTATTGAGTAAACATTTGTACAGTCTGTAATCCAGCCTTTTGGCTGCAACGGATTTTAATAAAGCTATAAAGCTACCTTATCTACCTGTTCTGTGCCACTTCAAACAGTTTACCTAACATCAAATCTTGTGCCTGGGCCTGTGAAAGTTGGAATACAGCTTATGTTACCATTTGAGGGAGTGCACCTTCTCCTTGGAATAACCGCAACTCCAGAGTAACTGTTCCCTTTCATCTGAGGAATTTCCTGATTGCTGGAAGGAGGCATTAGTTTCCCCTCTGCTCAAGAAGTCTAGTGTGCTCTCAGACTTTACTAACTTAAGACCTGTATCTAATTTGCAGTATGTTTCAAAATTAATGGAATGTGCTGTCTTCGATCAAACGCATGCGCATTTGACATCACATGGCTTATACCCTCCATTCCAGTCAGCGTATCATGAGTGTCACAGCACTGAGACTGCACTTTTAAAAGTGCAAAATGACATCCTAATGGACTTGGAACCTCAACGTATTACCCTTCTTATTTTACTTGATTTAAGTGCTGCATTTGTCACAGTTGACCATGGAGTGTTATTGAATCACCTCAGCATGAGCTTTGGAGTTAGGGGATCAGTATTGCAGTGGTTTACAACCTACCTTCTCAACAGATCGCAGCATGTGTCTTTTGACCAAAATTTATCAAAGAAGTTCAATTTGCAATGTGGCATTCCTCAAGAATCATGCCTAGGTCCATTGCTGTTCACCATCTATGCGAGTAAGCTTTTTCAGGTTATTAAGAACTATCAACCACAATCGCACACATGCGCAGATGATACTCAGCTCTATCTATCATTCAATGCCGACTTGGCTTGGCTTGGCTTGTTCACAAAATGATGCAGTTGAGGCAATACAGCAATAAATACAGGCTATACGATTTTGGATAATCTAGGATAAACTACACTTGAATGATAATTACACAGAGTTCATGATTATCGGCACTTGAAAGCAACTGGCTAAATTGCACATTGATGATCTTAGTGTCGGTGAGAGCATTATACCTCCCGTAACTTCAGTTAGAAACTTGGGATCATGGTTTGACCAGAACCTGAGTATGATACCACACATTACTAAGATATGTAGAGCTGCATCTTTTCATATTTACAATATAAGGCGGATCAGAAAGTACCTCAAGTACCTTGTTCACTCCATTGTTATGGGCTGCTTAGATTAGTGGAATAGTCTTCTTCAAAAAGTTCACGCAGTATACATGAGTAAGTTACAATGCATTCAAAATAGTGCTGCCCGGCTTGTATGCTCAGCTACGAGGTTTAATCATATTACACCCGTCTTATTTTCTTTGCATTGGCCACCCGTTGCCTACCATATAGGGTTTAAAATCTAAATACCATCTTCGTTCTTCTGAAGAACTGCTATTGCAGTTGCCCATGGGAAAAACAAAGAAAACTCTGGGTGACAGATCATTCCTAATAGCTGCTCCTGCACTGTGAAACAGTCTGCCTGCAAGTGTCAGAGACATTGATAACTTTTCGGTTTTTAAACGAACAATAAAGACTTACTTATTTAGGTAAGCTTTGTTTCCTCGACCGAAGCGTTAACGGTATAAAATAGCCACGTTTCAAAGGACTTTCTTTTGTTTATTGATGAGTCTTTCGAAACCTATGATTACAAACAGTTTATCAGGTTATATGAACAAAGTTCAAAGAAAACGAACCACAGATGTCGACTTCGGGAGGAAGCTTGCCGTACTAATGTTATTAACGGTGATTAACCTAATTAAGTAGCTATGACGTATCTAATTTTCATCGCGGCCGAAACACTCCACGCCTCCCGAAGGTATTGACCTAATTCTTAATTTACATTTCGTAAGTTAGTTTCATTTAATGTCCTTTGAATCTTCATCATCGTGGAAAGGAACCAGTACGATTAGACGCTGTACGGGTCGCTCGATTGTTGAATATCCTCGACCCTTGTATATACCAACTTTTTCATTCGGCGCTGGATTCTTGTACTGAATTGTAACTTTTCTGATCTTGCCATCTTTTCCGGGGTTAGCTGTTATGACGCGTCCGAGCTTCCATTTCCCCCATATCTGGTTACTGTCTTGAATTAACACGATATCGCCGACCATGACATCACGTTTACAAGTATGCCATTTCTGGCGTACGAGCAAGCTTGGGAAATAGTCTCGTGTCCATCTGCTCCAGAATGCGTCAACAACGTCAACGCTTTCATTAAATGGCCCGTTAGGAACCTTTGTTGAAGAACGTCCTAACAAGATGTCATTCGGGCAGAGATGTGCTCCGACATCGAAAAGGTCGATGGCTGTACTATGCCAGGGTGGTGAGGGCATAAGTCTCTCTTCTGGAAGCTGTCCCATGACCTGCTTGTTGAGGTTTTCGTCCAGTTTCTTGCAAGTGACGCAGTTGTATCTAATGGACTTTACTATGTTATGAATCTGAGGAATCCAGAATCGTAATCGAATTTTGCTTACGGTCGTCGACACGCCATGGTGACCTTTTCGATGTATATGTTCCGCATAAAGCTTGGAGAAACGATGCTCACAAGGAATGAGGATCACTTCTCTCTTATCGTAGCTCAAGTGCACCCATTTGCCGGTCCGATGACCAACCACTATTACTCCATCTTCTCTGCGCTTTGGACACAAACGCTTATATTTAGATTTTTTGACGTCTGTAAGCAATTTTCTTTGCGCATCAATGATCCAAAACCTTTCTGCTTTAGAAATATCGTCCGGCGTCAGGGTCTTTGTCGCATTCTTCAGACTAACTGGTTCTCTTGCATATATGGCTAATACACGTGCTGTTACTCTTAACAGTTTGTTGTAACTTGAATGTCTGTTTATATCAATTCTTCTCGCGAGCGAGTCCTGTTCTGCAGCAAGTGTTGTTAATGCCGTTTTCATTGGTAACTCTGGGTGATGGACTACTTTACTTACGTATTGGCCATTCTGATTCCGGGAGTTGTAGAAATCTAGGTCCCTTTTGCCAGTCGCTTTCGCTTTTGATATCGCTTGGTCGCTTACCTCGTGTTATCCAATCGGCGATGTTTTTATCACTCTCGCCCCAATACCAGTCTTGGGGATTGGTACCTTCCTGTATCTCTCCAATGCGAGTAGCGGCGAATGTATTGTAGCCGTAAGATTCCTTTTGGATCATCCCGTGCACTATTTGAGAATCGACTATGTGGTAGTATTTCGCAAACTTGTAGCGGGATTCTTTGTCCAGAAAGTTTTTAAGCCTTTTGCTTAAGACTGCCGCGCAAAGTTCAATTCGATCGATCGATAATTTCCTATTTGGCGAGAGTCGGTTCTTTGACATGATCAGTCTGGTTTCAAATTTGTTGTGCGGTAATGTCCACCTGATGTAAGCACATGCTCCGTAAGCGTTGTCTGACCCGTCACTGAATATGATAAGAGTCGGCAGACCGAGTACACCTGATGGTTTGAGGCATCTTGGAAATATAATTTGATCCATATTGCGCAGATCTTGGAAGAATTCCAGCCAGTTAATCCTTTGCTTCTCAGGGACAGGGTCGTCCCAGCCGAGTTTCTTTTCTGTTGCCCAAAGCTGGCGCATCAAAATCTTCGCTCTGACCGTAACGGGAGCTGCTAGACCAAGAGGGTCATACACGCGGTTTATCTGTGAGAGGATAATCCTCTTCGTAATTTCGCCAGTAGTTGGGTTTTCTTTGATGCGTCCTTTGGCTTTCGTCAGAGTTAAGTCTATTCCCACTTTAAACCGGAATTGATCCTTGTCTGTACTCCAAATGACGCCGAGTACTTTCTCTGTTGATGAATTTTGCTGGTTGGGTTCTAAAGCCATTTCGTTTGCTGTTTTGTCGTTCGAATAGAACCAACCCTTTATCTTGAATCCGCCCTTGACTAGGACTGCCTCAATCTCATTAGTTAGTTGCTTAGCTTGTGCGTCGCTATGTACACTGTCTACAATGTCATCCATGTACGAGTTGGATATTACGGTATTCGCGGCTTGTGGATAATTCTCTTTTGATAGTTCCGCTGTCTTTCTCATGGCTACGGTCACTATGGTACCCGAGGGTTTGTCTCCAAATGAAACTCTTTGTATAACGTACGTATCCGGATCCCTGCTTGTGTTCATGTCGCGCCATAGAAAACGATGCGTGTGTTGCTCTATGATCTTGGTCTTCACAGTGTGATACATCTTTTTCACATCTCCGATGAATCCAATTTCGTGTTCTCTGAATCGCACGAGGATTCCTACAAGATTATTTAACAGATCGGGACCCTTTGCCCAGTACTCGTTAAGGATGTGTCCCATATAGTTCGCGCT